CCGCCTGGCGGTAAGCGCGCCCTCGCCTCTCTCGGCTACTCGGTGAGAACCCGCCACCAGCCCAGCCCAGCCCCGGCCCCGGCCCCTCACCACAGCCGCCGCGCCGCCACGCTCCGCCGCTGCCTGGGCGCCGCCATCTTGACTGAGGGCAAACTGGCTTCACTGCTGTCGGAAGCAATAGGGGAGCGTCAGCCATGTTGGCCGAGGGCAAACCCCGCCGGGGCCGCAGGCAAGCAGCCGCCATCTTAACCGGCTGCCCTATGACGTCAAAGCCCACCTGAGAGACTGGAGGCGGGCGGCCATCTTGAGTGCGGGCGCAGCCTCGCAACCTCCTCAAGGAGGCGGGGCGGGGTGGCCGAGCCGTCGCGTCCTCCTGCCTGCCAGAGAAGGAGCCGGTGTTGTGAACTCCTCTCCCGGCTCTCTGGAGCGAGGGGCGTGCGCCTGCCCTAGGCCGTCCACAGCGCCCTCAGGCCAACGCTGGGGGGGAGCGTGTTCCCCAGGCACGGAGGTTTCATCCTCTTTTCAGTTATAAATTGTGGAATTAAAAAAAAAATCTCCCTTGTCTTTTGAATCCTCAAGGTCCTTGTGTGTCAGGCATGCCCTTACGCTGTTCTCTAGAAGTTTTAGGCATCGCAATAATCCTTTTAAATATGAAGGGTGCCAGCAGGAGTCAAGTGTTTCATTGCTTGCTTCTGTTACTCAAAACAGTAACATCCTTTTGGCATTGAAAGGGCTCAAACCAATGAAGTTCTGATTAAGACTAAACTGTGATGCATAAAAGTTTTGCTTGTGTTTGTTTCCCAAGGACTCCTCAACTGTTTTCCTTAGGCCTCTTTGTCTAGACAAAAGTAAAATGCTTCCTATATAACTCACTGACAGCAGCCTTCAGTGGACACTTGGGCAAACTAAGATAAGGGGAACTTGAACAAAAGGACACGGAGATCCCATCTAGGGAAGATGATCTTGCTGATTTAGGAAAAAGACACCTGGACTTTACCTCACAGCATATGCTCTGGAAAGAGAGGACACTGTGAAGAAGACCACTTCTTCCCTCGACCACGGAAGACCCTCACCCCATTTTCACTATGCATGCTGGTACTATGTAAATGAATTCTGAGGAACTCATTATCATAAGACAGCCCTTTCCAGGAAATCTAATGAGTATGTGTAATTTGTGTGTATGTAAACTGATGTCCCTTACTAATTCTTTGGAGCCCTTGTGGAGAATCCCCAGAGTGATCCCAGCGCTGGCAAGAAAGAATACCTGCTTAACAGTTATATTGGATTCTGACTGTTGAGTTAATTTCTTCGTTTCAGCATAAATACAACAGAATAATGTGTTTTCCTTGGTGCATGCAGCATTTGACTTATGAGCATGTTTAAAGTTGGTTGATCTTCATACTATACACCAACCTTCAAGTTGTATGTTTCTCCAAATTGCCAACTCCTGTTACAGTAAGTGCTCTCATGTACTGAGCACTTCTGTGGGTCTCTGAGAGGGACCACATTTGCTCCTCATCTGGAGAAGCTGATTCCCCATTTACCAGGCCAGCCATGGTACCACACTGATTCTGCTGCGACCACCAGGTATCCCAGCTCCTGTCCCACGGATGGCTGGAGAGATTCATTACAGCAGGGATAGGGACACCACCACAGATGACAGCAGAGCCTGTCCTCACACTGCAGGTACTGAGGGATGAAAGATCACATGCTGTGATTCACACAGCCACAGCACTATCATGCCCCTTGCCCCTTTGATTTTGCAGACACAGCCTGTCCTCCTGCTTCTCAGATGCTTGTTGCTGGTTGCATGCTGAGGTATGAGTGACCAAGTAACCCAAATCTGTCTAGAAACTGGTGTGTCAGGGGATAAAATGACACTGGTGCCTCTGGATGGCCAGAACAGTGCATATCTGTTCCTTAGTGTTAATATACATATCCATGACTCCTGACTTCCTAGCCCAGCTCTGTCACTTCCAACTCCTGTTTGATAGAGGCTTTTTTAGCTAGCTCTGCCATTCTTTAAAAACAGGCAACAATGCTGAATATAGCCTGCATACACAAATGCACAGTCACAGAAAAGCCTTCTAGCAACAGAAACTCATGACCCCTCATGACCAGTCATAATGGCACTACCAAACCTGGCTTAACCCTTTGTTTATCATCTTGCAGTCTGTCCCCTCAGCCTCTTGCTCTTCTGGAAAAGATATACAGGTCACTGTGATTTTCCCAAATTCATATTATCTCAGTTTAAATGTCTTACATTTACCAAAGTTGATCATTCCACACAGATGTTTGTTTAAGGTAAGTCCTTATAACCATGAGAAACAATGAAGAAAGCCCGTATTCCCATCCTTTTCTCTTAGTAGTTGTGGGTGGATAATTTGGTGAAGCATATTGTATACACAGAGCAGCATTGTAAGGTTTTGAAGTACAGTTGCAACTTGATGACAAGTTGATTGTATGGCCTTGACAGGGCTGCTGGAAGGGCTTGAGGGTGAGGTTTAGTGCCTCAGGGTGTGGATGTTTTCCACACCTGTGTGTGTTCTAAATAAAGCAGTGTCTGCATATTATGGTGACACTTTGTAATGACACTTGCCAAAGGATCAAAACACAAGAACAATATTTCACGGGCCACAAAGCGGTTCTGGCATTTTTGCAGAATAAAGAAAAGTTACCTGAAAGTGTGAAAAACAAAGTGGCTGATTTTTGACCCATTGTAAAGTCTGTCACTGCCATATCTAAGATTAAAAACTGGCTAATTTTAGGCTTATGATATCTATTATACCAAAGGTACATCGGAGCCATGAACATGCTTGGCACACCAGAAATACTCTGAGAGGTTCCAGAGAGGCCAGTACACAGTCATGCAGAGCTTAGGACTACCAAGGGGTTGTGGGAGATCATTACAAAGGATTTCTGTCAGCTTTGTCTTAGTGGTGAGGTTTACCATTATTAAGCAATCAGCCACAAGTGATCACCAAAAGTAAAATATATTAATGCAGTGGCATGGCTGCTCTTTTACACCTTTTAACTGTACATAATGTTTCAGATAAATCATTGCTCCCATTCAGATAATTATTAAACGCTCTTGTATTTCAGTCATCAGTGCCTCAAACCCAAACTTGTCAGTGTATTTCATCATAACGCATAAAGATGCCTCAAGATTTTTTTTGACCTTTTTTGAAGGGTGGTTGACTACCAAAGCCAGGAATTGTGCTGTGTATGGGCTACTCTGTGGGGCAGGATGATCACATACTCACTAGGGCAGTTTCTGTTGCTTTGTACTGCTGTCTCTGGCAGAGTTGAGCTAGGGCTTGTGAAGGGCTCAGCACAGAGGACTATTTACTCTGTAAGTTATTCTACAATCATACAATGCTTTACCCCCAGCAGCGCTACAGGCTTGGGGAGGAGTGGTTGGAGAGCTGCCAGTCAGAAAGGGACCTGGGGATGTTGATTGACAGCCGGCTGAACAGGAGCCAGCAGTGTGCCCAGGAGGCCAAGAAGGCCAATGGCATCCTGGCTTGTGTCAGCAATAGCGTGGCCAGCAGGGACAGGGAAGGGATCTGACCCCTGTACTCGGCACTGGTGAGGCTGCCTCTCGATGAGTGGGTTCAGTTTTGGGCCCCTCACTACAAAAATGACATTGAATGACTCGAGTGTGTCCAGAGAAGGGCAACGGAGCTGGTGCAGGGTCTGGAGCACAGGTCTGATGGGAGCGGCTGAGGGAACTGGGGGGGTTTAGTCTGGAGAAGAGGAGGCTGAGGGGAGACCTCATGGCCCTCTACAGCTCCCTGAAAGGAGGGTGCAGAGAGCTGGGGATGAGTCTCTTGAACCAAGTAACAAGTGATAGGACAAGAGGGAATGGCCTCAAGTTATGCCAGAGAAGGTTTAGACTGGCTATTAGGAAGCATTTCTTTGCAGAAGGGGTTGTTGGGCATGGGAATGGGCTGCCCAGGGCGGTGGTGGAGTCCCCATTCCTGGAAGGGCTTAAGTCCCCATCCCTGGAAGGGCTTAAGAGGAGGGTCGACATAGCCTGAGGGATCTGGTGGAGTTGGGAACTGTCATTGTTATGTTAATGGTTGGACTGGATGATCTTCAGGGTCATTTCCAATCTAGATGATTCTGTGATTCTGTTATGGACTGACAGAACCATGTTTCCTTGGCTCTAATTTTGGGAGTAATATAATCCTTTTAAGAAATCACAGCTCTTAAATGGTATTTGGATGAATTTCAAGAACACTTACATCACTGTTCACTTGCTCTCTGTAATAAAGAAGACTAAAACATAATGGAAAATAGTAAGCTATTAAAATGGGAGGAGAATGAAAACCATCAATGTTTAATAACGATGGTATATGCATTGTCACCAAACATTGCACAGAGTTTCTGAAGAGCCGTAAACCATAAGTCTGTCCTGAAATGCATGGTCAGGTTTGTAGTCTTTTCCAGGTATGAGGCTCTACTGCCTGGTCAGATTCTCAGTTGTTTTCCTTGAGTGTGGTGAATAACAGGGCATTGGTACGACTGCCTGCAAAAAGACAGCCGTACTCATGCTCACATGCAGCCTATATCTCTGTCCTGATTTTGGCTCCCTCTGCCTTTTTCCTTCATGTGAGGGATGGTGGGGTTGTGTACCGCTGGCTGAATGTTACAATAATAATACCAGTGACCTCTAGTGCTTAAATCCTTTGCTTCCAGGCCTGCCACTGAGAAGGAAACAGTGAGCTAACAGGTTAACTGCAAGGTCATAGGCTTAATGAGGTTTTAAATATTGCAGCTCACAGCACAGGAGACTATAATGACCCTAAATTAAACAAGAGAGTTAAAACAAACCTCTAGGATCAATGATTATTACCAGGGCACAGTAATAAACATACATTTCAGTGTTTTCTTATAACATCTCTCATTAAGGATATTAAGGCAATTTACTAGTAAAGTCCTATCACCCTCTTGTGATGAAGGTAAGTAATACATAGGAATCACTTCCCTGCTTTTGTGAAATCGCTTCTCTCTTCTTTAATAACATATGATAATATTACACAGCACTTTGGGTCAAAATGTCTCATTTGATATCAGAAGAAAATGGAAGACTATGGAAAAGAGCTAGAAATTTATGAATACGTCAAGGGTAAATGTCTAACATTCACTTCAAAGCACCACAGGGATCTTAATAAGCATTTTGTCTTCTCACACAAATGTTTTCAAGGGAGAGGAGAGTTTTCTACCTCTTCCTTCCCCTGTACTACCAAAGCACAGAGCTTTGATAGTTAAATGTTATAACAGGGCATTTTTTTCCTACTTTCCTACTGTCATTACCATTTCAGATCCTG